CTGTGCCCCATCCCCCCGCGGCCGGCCGGCTCCAGCCCGCAACCGGTGCCCGCGCCCCCGGGCCCCGCCATGGGCCTCACCGTGTCCGCGCTCTTCTCGCGGATCTTCGGGAAGAAGCAGATGCGGATCCTCATGGGTGAGGCAGCCCAAGCGCACTGCCCGGAGCGGGGCGCGGGCCCCGAGCAGCCCTCCCGCCCCCGCGCCCTCCAACCGGGCGCACCCGGGGCTCCGACCCCGCCTCACCCACCTCCTAGGCGCCCGGGCCGCTGCTGTCGGGCAGGTCCCGGCTGCAGCGCCGCCCCCTGGGGCTTGGGGCCGGGAGTTGCGGACCTGGGTGGGATGCAGTTCCCTCCGCCCTAGTCCGGCTGGTCAGAAGGGAGGATTCCACCCTTAGCGACGACTTTTCAAAGGAACGCGGCCTCTTCCCGTGCCCCTTGCCTCCAGTTCTCTCCCTCCGCAGCCCACTTGCACGGCAGGAGTTGGCACCCACCATCCAAACTGCCCTCAAGGCCCTGAGGGCCGAGAACAGTGCACACCTGGAGGCGCCGGCTCTCCGCCCCCGTCACCGCCAGCGGTCCTGGCCGCTCCCTGTCCCTGATCTCTAGGGGGCTCCCTCGCTCCCGTCTCCATCCTTGTGCCCCTCTCCGTTGCAGTTGGCTTGGATGCAGCTGGCAAGACCACAATCCTGTACAAACTGAAGTTGGGGGAGATTGTCACCACCATCCCCACCATAGGTGAGCCCGGGGGCAAGGCCGGGAGGAGCGGGAGGGCCGGGCTCTGCCGGAGGCCCTTATCTCTTCGCCGGGAGCTGACCCGGACACCAGATACGGCCACTTGAGAAGTGGGTCACGGTATCTCTACCTGCCGGATGGTGTCAGAGGCGGGTGGATGTGGCGAGCCCCGCCCAGCTGTTGACCGGCGGCCCTCTAGGGGTCTGGTCCCCCGGGCTTGGTCATTGCCTCCTGGTTTTGTGTCACTCCCGAGATCCAAATAGTTACAGTGAGTTCCTTCCTTACGGGACGTTTTCTTTTGCTGTCTTTTTCCATTGATCTTCAGGCTTCAATGTGGAAACAGTAGAATATAAGAACATCTGCTTCACAGTCTGGGATGTGGGGGGCCAGGACAAGATTCGGCCTCTGTGGCGGCACTACTTCCAGAACACTCAGGTGGGTGTGGGACTCCCCAGCCCCAGGCTGAGATGTCTGCCTTCCCCACTCCATCCTCTTTTGTTGGCTAGCCTCTGCTTATCCTTCAGAACTACCTAGCCTTTTTCTGAGACTTAGCCACCTTAGACTTCCCTGAGAAGCAGCGTTCTGGGTCCACAGGCCTGATTTAGTTCTCACCACGTCTTTCATTGCCCACCCCTTGCACATCTTTCAGCTAGCCTGCTTGCTCCTTGAGGGCGGGCACGTCTCCTTCACTGCGATGTCTTCAACTTGTGCCAGAATTTCTACAGAGAGTTAGTGGAAGCTTACTAGATGAAAAGGGATTAGACACATTGAAGAAGGGAAGAAGACAGAAAGGACCAGACAAGGGTATGTCCCAGTTGGGAGTGATTGCTGCTTTATTTCTTCCCTTCTTTCTTCCTTCCTTCTCTCCCAGGGCCTCATCTTCGTGGTGGACAGTAATGACCGGGAGCGGGTCCAGGAATCTGCCGATGAACTCCAGAAGATGGTGAGCACCCAATGCCCTGGAACGGAGCCCTCCACAGGGACAGAGAGGTCCCTATGCTGGGTGGGAGTCAGGAGTACCTTGAGGGCCAGGAATGTGCATTTTTCTCTGTGGATGCAGACACGTATATCTCACCCTGTCTTGGGTCTGGAACAGGTAAAAAGCATAGGATTGACTTTCTCCTTGGATTTTCATCTCTTCATGTCTGAATCTGAGAAGTTGGTGGGGAGGGGGAATATGTATGGTGGAGAGAAGTATCATCTTACATACTTGGCTTTTCCATTGGACATTTTGTCATTTTGTCTAGGGCAGATACTCAAATTAGAAAAGGCCTTTCCTAGACTTAAGGACTCAGTGGCCTCAGACCAGACCAGTCGATTCTGACTCGTGGTGACCCCATGTTTGTCAGTAGAACTATGCTCCGTAGGATTTTCAATGGCTGATTTTTCAAAAGTAGATCACAAGTCCTTTCTTCGGAGATGCCTCTGGGTGGGCTCGAACCTCTAACCTTTGAGTTAGCAGCTGAGCGTATTAACCATTTCTAGGAAGCCCCAAGTTCATTTAAAACTGCTTCTTGCGTTCGGCGATAGATGACGTGGTACTGTTTTCCTGTGAATAAGCAAGAAGATAGAAAGGAGGGCTCCCCAGCTTGGCAGGGAGGAGGGACCCAGAGAGACCTCTGGGACCATAGTTCCATTCGCTCTCCTTCCCACTTAGCTGCAGGAAGATGAGCTGCGGGATGCGGTGCTGCTGGTGTTTGCCAACAAGCAGGACATGCCCAACGCCATGCCAGTGAGCGAGCTGACTGACAAGCTGGGGCTACAGCACTTACGGAGCCGTACGGTGAGTGCCTGCCCAGCTCACCCTGGGTCCTCCCTCCTAGGGGAGCCGCAGGCTGGGGTGAGGACATCAGGGCATCCCTTGTCCTTCCACGTTGCTGACCTCATTCTTTCCTTCTCCCCACAGTGGTACGTCCAGGCCACCTGTGCCACCCAAGGCACAGGCCTGTACGATGGGCTGGACTGGCTGTCGCACGAGCTGTCGAAGCGCTAACCAGCCAGGGGCAGGCCCCTGCTGCCCGGAAGCTCCCGCGTGCGTTCCTCCCGGGATGACCGACTCCCGGACTCCTCAGGCAGTGCCCTTCCCCCTCACTCTTACCCCCCCATCCCCCCCCACCCCCACTGACTCGGACCTCTGCTCCCGCTCCTGCCTGCATGTTCTCTCTGTTGTTGGAACCTGGAGCTTCGCTCTCTGGCACGGAGGGGTCCACTCCTGCCTGCTGGGGCCTGTGCAAGGGGCCCCAGGGCCAAGGAAGGCCCCCACTTCCAGAGGAGGAGCAGGGATCTGAGTTTGCTTTCGTTTTTTCCGTTTTGGGTGTACCCTTGGGGCCAGGTGTGGGGGAAGGTGAGGGCTCCAGGTGGTGCTATGATGTGGCACTGGTTATTGAGTAATAAATTTGATGTGGTTTGTACATGGTGTTGTCTGAAGCCTAGAAATGGGGGGATGGATTATTGGGTACAGAAGGACAATATGGGGGAGACTGAAAGCAGCTAAGGCTACAGGGCCAACTCCTGCCCACGTAGTTGCTCTTGTCTAGCTTGGCTTCTCCCTCCTTATTCTTGAGGCTGGGGTCCTTTAGGGGTTTCACTAGAGAAAACCCCCTTCCTTTCCCAACACCAAAAGGCCTTTGCTGGTGGTAACAGGAGCTGCCTTCATAGTTCTATAAACTACGTAGCTCTCCTTTCCCATCCATCTCCCGCTACTTAGAGCGGTGGTTCTTGATTGCTATGCACGTTAAAATTTGAGGGGGAGGGAACGTGTGTTAAAAATGCAGGATCCTGAGCTGTATACCGCAGAAACTGATTCATTAGGACTGGTCTGAAGTCCAAGAATATGTATCCTGAATATCACCCGGGTGAGTCTGGCCTTAGTAGTCTATTAACCTTATTTTACAAAAACACCAGTAGAGCCTGGGGGATTACAGTTCCCTGCTGGGCACCACTGGGACTCTTTCCACTTGGGAAGCCCCCACTTCTGGGGACTAGGAAAGAGCATGTAAGGAGCCAGGGTGTGGGCTCTTCAAGTCTCATTGACTCTGCCCATTTCCCTTTGGGTCCCAGCAAAGCTTAAAGAAAGTGAATCACCACCACCACCAGCATTTCTTTTTGCCTTTCTCCCTTTTTCTCACATGTCAGTTTCTCCAGTTCCGGGCTGGGTTTTCTCCGTGAACTCTGCAGGAAGTTAGTCCCAAAGGCTACTAGCCAATGGAGACTCTGGAGGAAAGGGCTGGTACCTTAAAGGCAGCTCTGGCTGGCTACCTGCCAGCCGCCCACCCACCAGCAGTGCTGCTGGGGGTTGATGAGGAGGGTGCTCCTTCACCTGGGCCGCTCTGCTTACCCTGGCCCTGAGCCACCCCTTCCTGATTCATAGGAGTAGTTTGATCGTCACTGGGTGTCTGTCTCAGCTTTCCTCACACTCTGAAACATAACTTCTAAAATACAAAACAGAATTCACATTCTTATGGAATCTAAATATTCTGGAGCCATGGAGGCTGGATAAACCCCTGAAAACTATTGAAATAATCTTTAAACCTTAAACCAAAAATATCTGCTGAAGTCTTCTCAAAACCAAACTTAACTAGTAAAGAATATCTGCCTTGAATATTATGTTCTTTTAAAATCTACCTTCACGGGATCAAATTGACAACAGCAACTTGAAAGATAAGAACATTAGGGGGCAGTGAGTTTATGTTAATGGGGGAGGAACAACTTGGAACGGGAGGGTGCGAACAGTTGCGCAACTGGAATGTAATCAATGTTACTGAATTGTATATGAGGAAACTGTTGAATTGGTCTATGTTCTGCTGTGTGTATTCTCAACAACAAAAACATAAAAAATAAAACTGTTGAGACACGTTGGCCTCATCATCCTAGGGGCCTTAAAACTTAATAGATTTTTCTTGGATACCTTGTACTCCAAAAGCACTTGAGTCCCCAGGGAGCCAGGCAGAACCCACTTCCTAGGAAGTAAAAGTGGTTGATTTCTGTCCTGTTACCAAAATGAGGATCAGAGGTAAAGAAGGGGAGGGACTTGCCTGGAGTCCAGGTGGGGACTGGCACCGACCGGCTGCAGTTCTGATTCCAGTCTTAGCCGACCCCTGTGCCCAGAGTGGGGGGCACAGGTGGAGGCTGCGGCCCTGGACCCACTTCCTCTGGGCCATGGATTGATGTTGCTGTACCAGCACCCTTTCCCCACTGTGGCGGAATAAGAGGCAGCCCCCACAGTCACAATGCTCCCGGGTCACAGAGGTGCTGGGCCCTGGGCCAGCCTCTGCCTGGGAGTTCCCTCTGGGGACGTCTTCTGGCGGGTACTACGGGGCTCATTCCGGGCCCTATGGCCTGTGGAACCTTGCCACTGGGGGGAAGGCTGGGCTGGACTGAGTCATCACCTGTAGCACCGGCCCCATGGAGGAGATGAAGTGGATGCAAAGGCGGCCCAAGGCTGAGGACCTAAGGATTGGCCTCATCAGCTGGGCGGGAACCTACCTCACTTTTGAGGCATATAAGAATAGAGTCACTGCTGCTGCAAAGGGTTTGGGCAAGAAACAGGTAACAAAGCCAACCTAGACTGGAACCAACTTTCCAAGTGGCCAAGGTCTCCTTTGGGGTAGGGCTGTTGCACTACCTAATCACCCACCTAGCCTCTGTCATCGCCGGGCCAAGACCCTTCCACCCCAGGCTTTTGCGTTGTCTCCATTGCTGTCTCCCCTCCCCAAACATGTTCCACAAAGGGAAGCCTCAGCCCTGGCCTTCCTGCCTTGTCCTGCTCTTCCTGCCTTGTCCTGCTCTGGCTGTCCCTAGCTTCTACCGCAGCACAGATGGGTTATGTCATCACAAAGGAGAGTTGGAAGGTCCAGGACCGAGGCTGATCAGGGGGAGTTGGACCAGTGGAGTGACTGCATGGCCTATGGTTCTGTTCTGGTTGCAGTCTGGGGAGAATGGGGGAGTCAGCAACCCTGGGAGAGTTGGCTTTCATTTTAAAGAGGGACATAGGCACCTCTGTGACGGGGGTGAGGGGATGGCTGCCTGAATGAGGCAGGAGCGTGGTGCTGTAACAAGGCTGGTCACTGCCGGACTGAACAACTGCATCTCAGCTGTTGTGCTCCCATTCTCATTCCTGGAGAGAGCCTCTCAGGGGAGCCTGGACCTGCCTCTAAGAGTCTTGTTTTTCTCCAGTCACGTTGGGGAAGTGGCCTTGGGAATAGAGGCATTAGCTGAGTGCTCTATCCACTCCATCTCCGCCAGTGAGGAGGAGAGAGGCAAGACTGAAACCAAAGCATTTCTTAGAAAATTAGGTATTGAAAGAAGTGGGTCGAGAAAGGGAGAGAGAGGTTTACCCTCTGTTACTTGGAGGAGGTGGGCATCCAGAGCTTTTCTTTGGATCTTGAGAAGCCCTATGGCTCCAGTGGTGGACATGCCCTGAAATCCTTCTGATTGCTGCTGGTTGGGAGGGTGGAAGGGCTGACAGCAGAGGACCCCAGGGCTGATGTGGAGGGAAGGTGGTGCTGAGGTGATGCCAGGGGTGAGGGGATGATTGTTGGGCTCCTTGGTCTAGTCACCTGGCAGTACTGCTCTCTCTTCTATCCCTCCTGATGCACCAGACGTGGGAGCTCCTAGTGAGCAACGAGCATGAGTCACAGGCCGTGGTTCGACTCCGAAGCCTGCAGGGCCTCTACCTGCTGTCTGAAGGGGATGGCTCTGTGGGCTATGGGCGGCCAAGGAGCAGCCACCACGGCTGCTTCCTGCTGCGTTTCCACCGGAACGGCAAGTGGACCCTCCAGTGCATAATCACAGGGCGCTATCTGGAGTCCGACGGTGAGGGTGTGTTCTGCAACTCCAGGGTCCTCTCAGCCTACCACATGTGGGCCCCGCGGCCGGCCCTGCACGTCCATGTGACCCTCTACAGCCCGCTCAACCACTGCTATGCCCGGGCTGACCCCACCGTGGGCCGTGTCTGGGTGGACGCACCGGTTCCCTGCCTGGAGGAATGTGGCTTCCTGTTGCATTTCCAAGATGGCTGCTACCACCTGGAGACCTCAACACACCACTTCCTGTCCCATTTGGACCGGCTTGTCTCCCAGCCCTCGTCACAGACAGCCTTTCACATGCAAGTGAGGCCTGGAGGGCTGGTGGCCCTGAGTGATGGAGAAGGGGGAATGTTATACCCACAGGGTGCACGGCTGCTCCTGGGCCTGGGCTCCAGTCCCCACCGGGGCGAGGAGTGGTTTATTCTGCAGCACTGCCCAGCCTGGGTCAGCCTCAAGTCAAAGGCGCGGAAGTTCATCTCGGTCTTCTACGGCAAGTCCTGGGCCCAGCACAGCCGGGGAGGGAGAGAGGGCTGGCTGTGGAAAAGAGGGGAGTGTGTCTGGGATCAGCAAGGATTGTTGAACCCGCTGATGAGAAAGATCCTTGGGTCCCATTGGGTCTCTTGTACCATGGAGAAGGACAGAAAAGCAGGGACATGGGCTCTAGAGGAAAGGCACTTGAGTCTTCTTCAGGCTGCTAAGTGCATAGTACAACATAAGGTGCTCAAGGCTGAAGAGGGAAAGCAAAGGGTGCCTCAGTGACAAAGCAGGGAGGAGGGGCTGAGACTGAGGCGGAGCCAGGATTCTGGCCTCCTCTGATGTGTTCTTCCTCTGCAGATGTTGAGGTATATGCTGCCTCGGAGCGTTCAACCCCAATGTCCTTGTTCCAGTTTGAATGTAACAAGGAGAGCTCTACCTTGCAGCTTCGGTCAGCCAACGGCTACTACCTAGTCCAGGTGAGACCTTGCTATCTGTCATCAGTCTTAAGCCCTGAGCACTTCCTCTCTAAACACACTTTCTCCTTCCTCAGGCAGATGACCAAATGGTGCAGGAGTTGTGGATGTCTGTATGGATAAACCGTCATTTTCGTCCAATGGGACCTCCTTTTTTTAGGTCAATTTTATTGAAGCATAACTTACATACAATAAAAAGCACCCATTTCAAACTGTACAGTGCAATAAGTTTTGACAAACGCACACATCTACGTAATGATGTAACAATCAAGCTAGAAAATATTTCCATCACCCAAAAAATTCCCCCTTGCCCCTTTATAATCAGTTCCCTCCACCCTTGGCCCCAGGCTACTGTTGATCTATTTTCTGTCACTATAGATCAGATTTGACCACTAGAGAGTACAGTAGGTATGGTATTTTGCTCAGCATAATGTTCTTGAGATTCATTCATAATGTTGCATGTATCACTAGCTTATTCCTTTTCGTTGCTGAGTAGTATTCCATGTTGTTGTCACCTGCCATTGAGTTGGCCCCCCGTGTGTAACAGAATAGAACTGTTCCATAAGGTTTTCTCGGCTGTAATCTTTACAGAAGCAGATTGCCAGGCCTTTCTTACGCAGAGCCACTGGGTGGGTTCAACCTACCAACCTTTGG